AAGCAAATACTGCCATGCATAATCTCGGAGAACCAAAGTGCCTTTATAACAGGTAGAACTACTGTGTAAAACATACTTATATGCTGTTGGAAAAAAAAATAATTTGGGAGAGCAAGACAACACAACACTCAAATACTCACAACTCACTTTAAGAATGGAGAAGAAATGATATTTTTCATTCAACCTGACTTCTTCCAAATGGCTAGCATACATGGGTATTTATAGTAGAACTCCTACATGTATCTAGCCTAAACTTCATGTAAACACACTAACTAAATTCACATTAGTCTACACTAGTTCATACATCTCATAATGAAGTTCACATTAGTCTACACCAGTTCATACATATAATGAAGTTCACATTAGTCTACATGCTAATATGAACTAATCTAAACATATTTAATACAAATGTGAACTAATGGAAACAAGTTTATTATAATTTTAACATCCCCCCTTAAACTTGTTTCATCACTCCAAGCGCCATCCTTAGCTTTTGAAAAACTTCAATCTTTAATGGCTTGGTGAAAATATCCGCAATTTGATCTTGCGACTTCACATGCTCAAGCTCCACAACTTTATTAGATATACAATCTCTAATAAAGTGATACCTTGTATCTATATGCTTGCTCCTTTCATGAAATACGGGATTTTTGGCTAACTCGATAGCCGACTTGTTGTCAACGAAAATCTTTGTGGCATCCTTTTGTGGTTGGTGAAGTTCCTCCAACAAACTTCTTAACCAAATTGCATGACAAACACATGAGCAAGCTGCAACATACTCCGCCTCACAAGTTGACAAAGTAACAATTGGTTGTTTTTTAGAATTCCATGTAAATGCAGAATTTCCAAGAAAGAAAACAAACCCAGTAGTACTTTTACGATCATCAATATCACCAGCCCAATCACTATCACAATATCCCACAAACTTAGAATCCTTAGAAGATGAATAAATAATTCCATAATCAAGTGTATCTTTGATGTACCGAAGTATTCTTTTTGCTACCTTTAAATGGGAGGTAGTAGGAGCTTCCATAAAGCGGCTCACAAGTCCAACACCATAAAGAATATCCGGCCTTGTGCATGTCAAGTACCTTAAGCTTCCAACAAGACTCTTGAAAAATGTGGGATTTACATTTTCTCCATCTCCATGCTTGGATATTTTAACTCCACATTCAACGGGGGTGCTCACGGGATTGCAATTATCCATCTCGAACTTCTTGAGAATTTCCTTTGCATATTCTCCTTGAGAAATAAAAATCCCATCCTTCCTTTGTTGCACTTGAATGCCAAGATAGTAGGACATTAATCCAATGTCCGTCATCTCAAATTCTCTAGCCATTGCTTCCTTGAATTCTTCAAACATCTTAGGATTATTTCCTGTAAAAATCAAGTCATCTACATACAAGCAAACAAGTAAAATGTCTCCATTTTTAGCAATTTTTACATAAAGTGCATGTTCATGTGGACATTTTGAAAAACCATTTGCTTGAAAATATTTATCAATTCTACTATTCCAAGCCCGCGGAGCTTGCTTCAACCCATATAAAGCCTTTTTCAATTTCAAGACTTTATTTTCTTGTCCTTCAACCTTATAGCCCAAAGGTTGATCAATGTAGACTTCTTCCTCCAATACGCCATTCAAAAAAGCTGACTTCACATCCATTTGATGGATTTTCCATTGATTTTGGGCGGCCAAGGCAATGACAAAGCGAATTGTTTCCAAACGAGCAACCGGTGCAAATACCTCTTCATAGTCAATACCGGCTTTTTGCTTGTATCCTTTAGCTACTAATCTTGCTTTGTACTTTTCTACTTCACCCTTGGAATTCTTCTTTAGCTTGTACACCCATTTGACTCCAATGGTGCTTTTTCCTTTTGGAAGTGTGACCAACTCCCATGTTTCATTCTTTTTTATTGCCTTGATTTCTTCATCCATGGCATCTCTCCATTTGGAATTTTGGAATGCATCCTCAAAGCTTATAGGCTCACTATCCACCAATAAACAAAAATGAGTAAAATCATATAAATCATTTCTTACCACTTCCGTGTTTTCATACAAGTCACGGAGACTTCTACTCTTGTGAGGTGCTTCACTTGAACTTGAACTTGATTCCTCCACTTCTTGATTTTGTGGCGGAGGTGTTGATAGTGGTGAGATAGGTTGCTCCACATCTTCTTCATCATCATCAAATAATGGACTAAAAGAGTAATCTTGCTCTTTAGTCTTCCAATCCCAAGCACTATCTTCATCAAACTCAACATCTCTACTCAAAGTGACCTTGCCATTTTTGGGATTATACAATTTATAACCTTTAGAATTTTGATCATAACCAATAAAAACATACCTCTCACTTTTGTCATCGAGCTTGGTCCTCTTTTCATCATGTATATGTGCATATGCAATGCTTCCGAAAACTCGCAAGTGAGAAACTTTTGGCTTGAAACCACTCCATGCCTCTTGAGGTGTTTTTCCATGAACACGTTTTGTGTGGCAACGATTTAGTAAGTATACCGCACAAGCAACAGCTTCAGCCCAAAATTCCTTTGGCATATTTTTGCTCTTCAACATACTCCTCACCATGTTAAGAATGGTCCGGTTCTTTCTTTCCACAACGCCATTTTGTTGTGGTGATCTTGGCACGGTTAAAAAATGGCGAACTCCATTTTTCTCACAAAAAACTTTGAATTCATTTGAAGTGAATTCTCCACCATTGTCCGACCGAAGTGACTTAATTTGATAGCCACTTTGTTTCTCCACCATCCTCTTGAATTTTTTAAAGGTTTCAAACACCTCTGATTTTGCCTTTAAAAAATAAACCCAAGTTTTTGTAGAATAATCATCAATGAAAAGTAAAAAATAATTACTTTTACCAAGTGAAGATGGCTTGATAGGTCCGCAAACATCCATGTGAATTAACTCCAAAGGGCATCTTGCTCTTGTCAAAGACTCTTTAGGAAAGCTTTTTCTAGCTTGCTTTCCAAAGATACATCCTTCGCAAAATTGGTTGGGATGATTAATACTTGGCAATCCATTCACCATGTTTTCTTTATCCATCAACCTTAAGCTATCAAAATTCAAGTGACCAAATCTCATATGCCAAAGCCAAGAGGAGTCTTTGGCACATGAAAGTAAGCATCTTGGAGCATCATTTTGAAGATTTAAAATGAACATTTTATTATTAGCCATAGGAACTTTAGCTAATAATCTCCCTTTTTCATCTCTCATAAACAACTTTTTATCTTTCAAATGAATGTCATAATTTTCCTCCAAAAGTTGTCCCAAACTCAAAATGTTACTTTTCATCTCCGGCACATATAAAACATTAGAAATTAATTGATGACTTCCATCCTTCAAGCGAATTAAAATCGTACCTTTTCCTTTGATTTTAACACGTGAAGAATCTCCAAAAGTGATTGTGCCACGATTCAACTCTTCAAGTTCCACAAATAAATCCTTCTTTCCACAAATATGGCTACTTGCACCGGAATCAAGGTACCATCGGTGCTTCTCGGCACTTTCTTCTCCTTTGCATGCGAGAAGCAAGGTGGCATCTTCATCTTCATTTTTGCTCTCCACGAAATTATTTTTCTCTTCAAAGTTATCTTTACATTCCCAAGAAAAATGACCAAATTTATGACAAGTATAACATTCAATATTTGATTTGTCATACCTTCCTTGATTTTGCCTCCATTCTTTCCCTCTTCCACGATCTCTTCTTGAATTAAAGTCTTGGCCTTTATTTTCTCTACTTGAAGGTGGTTGACTACCTCCTCTTCCGCCTCTACCACGACCTCTTCCATTTCCACGGCCTCTTTATTGCGAGCCACGCCTTTCATCTTTCTCTTTGAAAGAAAATTTTGCTTGCAACGCTTGTTCAACCGATTCTTCTTTCGGTTTCTTCAACTTCTCTTCATGTGCTTGCAAGGAACTCGAAAGCTCGTCTATGGTCATGGTGTCCAAGTCTTTGGACTCTTCAATGGCAACAACAATAAAATCGAATTTTGAAATTAAGGATCGTAGTATTTTTGCCACGACCCTATCATCTTTCAACTCTTCACCATATCTTTTCATTTGATTGACAATAGCCAAAACTCTCGAAATATAATCGACAACATATTCATTTTCCTTCATATGCAATGATTCAAACTCTCCTCTTAAGGTTTGGAGGCGAACTTTTTTCACTTTGTCCAAACCTTTAAAAGAAGTTTGAAGAATATCCCATGCTTCCTTGGAGGTTGTTGCATTTGCAACCTTCTCGAACATCTTGTCATCCAAACCTTGATGGATGAGAGTGAGTGCCTTTTGATCCTTCTTCTTTGAGGCAACGACATCTTCTGCTTCATCAACACCGGACTCTACTGGTTCCCAAACATCATAGGCACCAAGCAAGGCCTTCATTCGAATACACCAATTTCCATAGTTCTCTTTTGTAAGCATAGGAACTTGGAATGGTGTTCCGTTAGAATTCGTCATCTTTTCTCCAAGTTTGTTGTCTTCAACCACACCGGCTCTGATACCAAATGTTGGAAAAAAAATAATTTGGGAGAGCAAGACAACACAACACTCAAACACTCACAACTCACTTTAAGAATGGAGAAGAAATGATATTTTTCATTCAACTTGACTTCTTCCAAATGGCTAGCATACATGGGTATTTATAGTAGAACTCCTACATGTATCTAGCCTAAACTTCATGTAAACACACTAACTAAATTCACATTAGTCTACACTAGTTCATACATCTCATAATGAAGTTCACATTAGTCTACACCAGTTCATACATATAATGAAGTTCACATTAGTCTACATGCTAATATGAACTAATCTAAACATATTTAATACAAATGTGAACTAATAGAAACAAGTTTATTATAATTTTAACATATGCCAGGAACTAGTGAGGCTATACAATAGAAAGAATACGACAAAGAGCTGCCTAATCAAAATAGACCTTCGAAAAGCATACGACCCTGTATTCAAATTTATCAAATGGATTAATATGGCTTGCATATCGACTCCCCAGTATACAGTTGTAATCAATGGAGGATTATATGGGAAGATAATAGGGGAGAAGGGACTTCGACAAGGAGATCCTATCTCACCACTACTATTTGTTATATGCATGGACTATCTTACTAAAATATTGAAGCTGGTTACACAGCAAGAAGGATTTGAATTACACAAAAAGTGTCTGAGCATCAAGTTAAATCATCTCTACTTTGCAGATGATGTTCTTCTGTTCTGCAAAGGTGACTTCCACTTAGTCATGTTAATGTTAAGAGGGCTGAAGAATTTTTCAGTGGCATCGAGACTAACTACAAATGCTGGAAAATCAAACATCTTCAACGTGAACATGAATTTGCAACACTTGGAAAATTTATGTGAGCTTACTAGATACCAGAAAGGGAAGCTCCCATTCAGGTACCTTGGAGTCCCTATTACATCAAGAAATATATCAGATGTAGACTGTAAAATATTGGTTGACAAATTGACTACTAAAGTTAGAGGATAGGGATCGAGAACACTATCCTATGCTGGTAGAGTGCAGCTGATAAATTTAGTACTGCTGCACACACATGTGTACTGGGCATCTTATTTTATACTACCTCGAGCAGTCCTTAAAAGAATAACTGTTATATATAAGAACTAACTGTAGGATGGAATGGTGGACACTAATAGAGCACCACTGATAGCTTGGGATTTGGTCTGTAGATCAAAAAGGGAAGGAAGCCTAGGAGTTACAAATTGTGTGAGCTGGAATGATACTGCTATAGGAAAGTACGTGTGAAATTACCCAGAAAGCATATAACATATGGGTAAATTAGTTTAATAATCTGTATCTAAAAGAATAATCTTGGTGGGACTATGCAGCACCTCAGGATAGCAGCTGGTATCGGAAGAAGATATGCCATATTAGAGATAAAATGACAGTCGGGTGTGTGAATAATAACTGGCTCTCTTAACGTGGAAAATACATGATCAGAAGTGGATATGAATAGCTAAGGGGACGTCAGGCACTATGGCAACATCGAGTTTGGGTATAGAACAACCTAAATATACCCAAACATAGTTTTATATGCTGGCTAACTATGCATGGAAGACTACAAACAAGGGACAGGCTTGCACGAATGGGAGTAAGTCAAAGATAGCATGTGTGTGATATGTGGTCAAGCAACAGAGATTATATCTCACTTGTTTTTTGAATGCCAGTTCTCCAAAGAATGTATTATAAAGATACTCCAATGGCTGAAGATAAGGGTGCAAAACATAAAACTCGAAGGTCTTTGGAAAAGAGTTGCTAGAAGTGTAAAAGGGCGACTAAGGATTCAATTACCAGTTGTAAATCTGGCTATTTTTTATTTTTCACCTCTTATGGCTGAAATTTAAAACTTTAAGCTTTTATAGCTCACTCAGTTTAGTGATGGCTCAACTATAACCTTAATTCACAAATTTCCAAATTTAGAACAAGATTTTCAAAAAATGTCCTCCTTCCGTTCCAATTTATGTATACCTATTTGACAGGAATGTAGTTTAAGAAAAATGAAGACTTTTGGAATTTATGGTCCTAAACAAGTCAAAAAGGGGCCCAGAGTATTTGTGTGGTTATAAAAACTTTTCATTAAAGGTAGAATTGTAAGTTTAAGCTAAATTGTTACCAAATTTAAAAAGGGATCATTCTTTTTGAAACGCACTAAAAAGGAAATGGGTTCACATAAACTGGAACATAGTGAATATATAAGAGTACTAAAGCCATCTCCAACCTTACCCTATTTCCCCATAATGGAGGCAATTTTTGGGGGTAATGAAGCTCCACCCCTCCCCCATTTTTGTCCCCAAAATGGGGGATGAATGGTGTTCCCTCAAATATGGGGGTACACTATTCATCTCCCCCATTACTATTCATGTATTTTTTATTATTATTTTTTTATTTAATCTTTTAATTTATCTCTTTATATATACCTTATTATGTTTATGTAATATCTTTATAATATTAATTTTACATCTTAACTTTGGCATATAATTTTGATAAATTAATATTTGTGCATTTATTATTTTTATGTAAAATTGTAAGTTAATTTTATTAGAGGTTGAAGTTGAATATTTATGTAGTATTTCGAATAAATTTTATCGTTATGTAATATGCATTTAATTAATCTTATATCGCAATGATTTCACTTTTATTTGAATTTTTAGTTAATCTATAATAATTGCTTACAAAATATATTATTTAAAATTTTATGGAATTGTTTTAATGGAAATTACAAATTAATAAAAATAAAAGATAAAATTTGTTTAATGGAAATTAAAAAATAAAATTGAAATGAAAGATAATAATATAATATAGAAGAGAGAGAAGAATATAAAAAAGTTTGGGGGAAAAAATGGGGAATGGTTGGAGTAAGTTGTCTCCAAAATGGGGAAATCCTCATTTTGAGGACCAAAAATGGGGTAAAGCCTAAAACTTAGAATTGATTAATCCTCAAAAATTATGATAAAATAGAGAAAAATTTTATTTTGTGTCTCACACAACTGACAATAGTTGTGTGAGGCCTCTTTTATGTCTCACAACTGTGTGGTCCCAGAATTTTGTGGATCCAGGTATGTAAGAGATGGGTCCACAAATATGTGAGATAAAAAAAGGCCTCACACAACTAGTGTAAGTTGTGTGAGACACAAAATAAAATTACTCTAAAATAGATAGTGCTTACAAGTAAACTTTGAAATGATCTTTGCTTTAGAAAACGTGTCAAAAAGGGTAACAGCTAGCATTGAGCTTTGTAAAGGTCAGAGCTAGTGCAGCAACAGAAGGAAACCAAAAGGAATCCGAAACCAAAATGTTGCTATTTTGGACTCAAAACACATAAATAGGTGTAAAAAAAAAGGTAACAAAAATATATATAGCGCCAGAAATAGTGGCGCTATATATAAACGGTAACTGGACCGTTTATGTATAGCGCCACTATTTCTGGCTTTATACACTGTCAGAGTGATATAGCGCCACTATTTCTGGCGTTATACACTAACAGTGATATAGCGCCAGAAATAGTGGCGTTATATCCCTCCCCAAAAAACCCTCCATCTTCTTCTTCCCCCGTCTTCTTCCTCCATTATTCTAATCCCCCTTCCTAAAATTGGTCCCCCCTCTGTCCGCCACTAAAAAAAATAAAAAAATTTTGGGTCCCCCCGGCACATAGAACTTGAAGAACGTAGGTCCCACACTCGAGTAGAGCTTCTTGTTATTGTTGATTCACGCTTTCGGAGTCAAATTTTCGATCTATTTAATTTCCGAAAATTCTAAATCGAGGTATTTCGATTTATTTTAAGTTGAAACTTTTATAATAATGCATATTATTTGATTTGTATGTGTTCTATTTCGGTTGGTGGTTTTATTTTCGAAATTAGCATCTTAAATTTATCCGGATTTAATTTTACTGTTTTATATAAAAATATAAATTTGTTAAATAAATTTGTCTGTTAATATTCTCATTTATATATATGTGCTTTCATGCCGTTTTGTGTTTTATTTGCAATTAAATTTATTTGTTATTTATGTTTAGTTTAGATTATTTTTTAGCGTAGTAAAATCTAGACCTTTTTAGCGTAGTAAAACGTAGACCCTTTTAGCGTAGTAAAATTTAGAGCCTTGTAGCGTAGTAATGTGTAGTATTTTAGCTTAGAATTCCTTTTGTTTTAGTATCTATTACTGGTATTTCGATCCTCAAAATATCGAGCCCGGAATCCATACGTAAGTAATTTGTACAATTAAGTTATTAAAAAATATGAATTTAAATTATAAAAGAAATACATAATTATTAATGATAATTTGGTGCCACTGGGCCTCAAAATATGGAGCCCGGAACCCATACGTAAGTAATTTGTACAATTAAGTTATTAAAAAATATGAATTTAAATTGTAAAAAAAATACATAATTATTAATGATAATTTGGTGCCACTGGGCCTCAAAATATCGAGCCCGGAATCCATACGTAAGTAATTTGTACAATTAAGTTATTAAAAAAATATGAATTTAAATTATAAAAAAATACATAATTATTAATGATAATTCTGTACAATTAAGTTATTAAAAATTATGATTTTACAGTTGACGACATGGATGCGCCTATACATCCCGGCCCTCGGACGTCGGATCTATTAGCCCTACAGCCCCAGCATAGATCCGAGTATATCTGGGAGGGACAGTTGTTTACTACGACGTTTCGGGCCAGGAGAGTGGATCTACTATCGGGAGTTTTGAGTCCTCCCGCGTTCTACATCCCGCGTGGTCCATCAC